CAGAACTGGGGTCCACATTGGGCTCTGCACTCCATGGGAGTCTGGAATCCAATTTGCTTTGGCTCAGGTGCCTGCCTCCTCCCTGCCACAGGATGAGGCATTACCCCAACCCCCCCTCCCCCGCCTGCATCACCTCCCCGGTTAAACAGTGCCCACCACCCCCCATCCCCGCTGTAAGCTGTAATCTGCACTTGCCTTCTACACTCTGCCATCATCTTTCCCTTAGTTGATCTTAGGGTCTATGAAGTTGGCATCTTCCGATCCTCAGATGATGCAGATGGTGGAGGCCAGAACACAGCCTTGGCACCGAGATACTGGGAAGAGCCCAGCTCCCCATCTGCAAACTTTCAGGTCCGCGTGCCACAATGTGCTAAGAGCCATCAGGGTGGAGGCAGAGGACACTCTCCAAGGCTCCACGTCTTCAAATCGGACCTGAAGGTCCTGTGTCTCTCTTCACCGCGCCCCAGCGGACTGTCGAGGATGAGTGCAGTGGGCAAGGGAGAAGGGGCAAGATGCAGCCTATCTGGGAGCGGGTGTAAGGTGCTTGCAGCAGGGAAACATTTCGTTCTGGTTTTCTAGTTTTTCTCTTCAGCTTCCACGAGCAGTCTTAGTCCACACATACGGCCTGGAGTGAGGCTTGAGAGAACCATAATCTGCCCACAAGATGCTGGTAGGCATCAGGGAGGAACCCTGAGGAGACTAGCCGGGTTCTTTCAAGATACTGGCAGAAGCCTGAGTCTAGATGGCGAAGGGCACCAAGAGATTTAAAGAGAGGGCTCCATACAGTGAGGAGTTCTGCTCGAGCCCTGAGCGGTGTGAAGGGGACGATGCGAGGGAGGAGCTGAGCCCAGAACGCACTCATGCTTAGTAAGGGCAGTGAAGGCACTCCACGGTTTCCCCCTGGGCCCTCCTGCATCTCCCCCAGCACTTCCACAACACCTAGGGTTTATCCCTGTGGCTGTGCATTTCGTGCTTTTTACTTAACTGACTCCCCCATTAGGCTGTGAGCTCTTCACTTCCCAGTGGCTGCTACAGGGTGGGAGCTGGGTTCACCGAACGACCAAACAGCGGGTCACACCACGCCAGCAGCCCTGCTGCCCGGAGGTGTTCATTTCAATCCCCCACCATATACTGTACGTCCGCCCGTGCACCTTGCTACACCTTGCTAACCCTAACATTTGGTGAGCACTTACTGCGTGCAGGCAGGGTGAAGTGTCAGTGGGGGTCCCCCATTCCTCGGTTCCACGCCTCCACTCAGGCAGACCTCCACAGAGCAACACTGCTGACGGCCCCACCTGCTCACTCCGCGCCGCCTGGGGAAGAAGCGACTTCCTGAACAGAACAACCTGCTTGAGTTGGCGCCACCTGGCTCCTCCTGCAGGTCCGCCCGCTCGCAAGCAGGGTGCAAGCCGGTCTGCTCCCCACCCTGCAGGACGCTGGGTCCGGCAAAGCCGCCCGGGCAGACGAGGCTTGCAGCTTCCTGGCTCAGCCTGGGACTGGGTGGGTCTAATTCAGAGAAAGGCCCTTTGTCCCAGTACAGCACAACTCATTTATCGGAGATGTACATTTTATCCATGTTAACGTCTCTGAAATCCGGATGCATCTTCCAACCAGATGGCATGACACAGCTGAACTGGCTGTGATGTTTTCTTAGTGGTACATCTCACACTCAACAGCATCTTAGATTCGAAGAAACATGGTAAGCAGCATTCTCCAGTCAGCCTTATCAAGGAGCCGGTATCTTGGGCTCCGTCTGTCCCAGGGAACGGTGCTCAACTGGTTCCGAGCACAGGAACGGAGGAAAGGGGTGTTCTTTACTGCCACCCCTCCGCCCCAGCCCCAGCCCCAGCCCCATGCACTCCCCCTGGCCTAAGCAAATAAATACGACACCTTCTCCAAGGCGTGAACACGAACAGCCCGGGCCAGGGAGAGCGGAAGCACTAGGAAGCCGGAAAGGGCAAGGGCTCACGTGGTGCATGTGTGTGTGTGTGTGTGTGTGTGTGTGTGTGCATGTGCGTGCACACGTGTGAGCACTCAGGCGATGCTCCAGCATTCAGCCCGCACCCCCTCTCCGCCCTGATCACTGTCTTATCCCACCTTCCTCCCTTTGCCGCTCGCCCCCAAAGATTCCCACGCTCCACTCCTCGATCCTCTCACGTGGCTTCTGCCCCCCACGATTAAGGCCACTGTTAGGGGCTGAATTATGTCCCCTCGAAATTCATGGGTGGAAGTCCTAACCCCGGTACCTCAGAAAGTGACTATTCGGAGACAGGGTCTTTACAGGGGTCGTCAAGTTCCAGGGAGGTCATTCGGGTGGGCCAGTCTGGTTCGACTGGTGTGCTTCTGAAAGGGGAAATGTGGACATGGAAGGCGGGGTGAAGACGCGGGGAGAAGCTGGCCGTCTGAGAGTCCAGCAGAGAGGCCTAAGTCCTCGGGAAGAGCCGACCCTGCCAACACCCTGCTCGCCGACTTCTAGCCCCGGGGGCTGTGGGGCTGAGCGGAGCTGGGTGGTGCAAGCTGCGGGCCTGCCGTTCCGTGAGGCAGCCCTGGGAACAGCACGGCGCGGGTAAGAGCCCCTGACAGCCGCCCCCACCACCTCTGCTCACGCGGCTTCCCCGCATTTCACAGCCCCACTCACTGCCCCTTCGCCTCCATGGCTGACTGCTTCCTGGCTTCCCTCCATTGCTCCCCTCAGGCTCTGTCTCCTGCTCCTCTTCACCTGCTGTCTCCCAGTGGCAGACTGCCTCAGGGCTCCCTGTGCCCCCCTGCCGGGGCTAGCCCAGGGCGACCTCCTTCTCACTTGGCTTCACCCCCCCACCCGCACCCCCACCCCCAGGAGCCACGGCCCTCAGAGCTCCACCTCTAGCCAGCGTCTGTGCCAAGTTCCAGGCCCAGCACCCACCCATCTCCCAGACATCTCCACCTGCACACCTCAAACGCATCTAGAACCAAGCGTGTCATTTCCCGCCTTCCTCCCCACAATGCCTACCCAACCTGCTCCCCTCCCCGTGTGCTGTCTATCTCAGAAAATGGCACCACCACCCGAGTATTGCCCCCCTTGGGTTACTACTCCCGAGACCAGGTGAGCTCCTTCTCTCCGCTCCCGGGCCACCCTCCCTAGACTGGGAGATCTTTCATGGCAAGGGCTGTTCAATTCATGTCTACACAGAGAGACCTCAGACTCACACTCTGGAGACACCCCACGGCGGGCGGGGGACGGTGGAAACTTCCCACATAAGATCTTAATGGGTAAGCAATTGTCACTGAAAAAGGTACCATATCACAGACAAGTTTTTATTACTTTGTCCTGCATATAGAACCCACGAAATATAAAAACATGTCCAGAATTAGTCAAAGGAACCACCCCCCACCACCAGCCCCTTCCCTCCCTCGATGGGCTCAGATGGGGGAGCTGGAGGGTTGCAGGTCGCCTCCCTCTGTCCAGTGAACAAGTTCCATATAAAAATAGATCTGTAGAGAGCTCCCAGAGAGCCATCAGCCCGCATCCGTGCAGGGCAGAGGTCTGGGACCCCTCAGGATTATGGGACCTCACTCCTCCATGGAGGGGAGGTCTACCCTGGACACCGAAGTCCTGCCAACACAGCCAGGGGGGTCCCTCTGCAGAATAGCCGGGGGACGGGGAGGGGGCTTGGGCCTTTAGAGCATGACCGATGTAGCTGGAGATGGGGATGAGGCTCCCTCCACCCAAGACGGGACACTGGTCCTCACGCCATGTCCTTTCCGGGCTTGGGTGGGGGTAGGGGGCGAGCCTGGAGGGCAGCTGGCATGGGAACGGACCCCCCGGCCCTGTCAAGGGTGGAAGCAGTATCTCAAGCTTCCCCAGTACCCTCAAAGTCACTGACTGGGGCAGGTGCCCAGGAGGTGGGGAGCCGAGGGAGGGGCTCCAAGGAGAGAAGAGCCAAAGGCACTGTGAGGCACTGTCCCCCACCGTGGGTGCTCCCCAAAAATGCGCTGCATCTTCCAGCCTCCCGGCTTCTTCTCATGCTAGTCCCTCTGCTTGGATGCCTCTTGTCCTAGGCCCTCCCATCTTGGCCTGTGCAAAACTGCACCCACCCCAAGGACAGACACCCCACCCCCACCTTCAAAGCCTTGTTGAACGTATGCATCAGCCTCTCAGCCGAGAAGCCTTTCCAGACACACCTCCATATACACAAATCACGAGACTGTCCATCTGCCCTCGGGCCCAGCGGCCCACAGACCCCGAGGTCTCCCGTGGGGCCCAGGGCACTTTTGGAAGGCATCCCTGTCGTACTTCTCAGTGCCTGAGCTTCTCTCCCCACCTGGGCTGAGCCCTCCACGGGCCAGCTCCATGTCTCATCCATCCCCTTCTCCTCCCCCTTGGCTCTTCCTTCCCACCTGTCCCACCCACCCGCACACAGCCAAGCCCAGAGTAGGCATATGGCAGGGGTGACCTGGACAAACTCAGCCCCTGGAATCCTGTCCAGATCCAGCTGCCTTCCTGTTGTCCTCTGAAAGCCCTGGCCTCGCGATCACCACCGCCTCTAGGAAGCTCTTCTGGATAAGGAACTCTGGAGTTAGCTCAGTGTGGCCACTCCTGCCGGAGCCCCACAGAAGCCAGAGGGAGAAGGTGCTCCCCAGGAGGCTGAGGGGTGCCCAGGAGACAGCGCTTGCGAGAGGCGGTCACCTCAGAGTACCCCTAGGCTTCCTTGGGGAAAAGCGTTGGTATCACAAGGTAGGACCAAGGACTCTCTCTCCAGAGCCAACCTCAGCCCTGGACTGGGAGTTGGGGGCAGGGGTTCCAACCCCAGCCCTGGCCCTGACTCCTCCACCAGCCTCTGTCATTCCTCTCTGCACAGTGTGGCTCAGAGCCTGTCAGAGAGGGAAGGTCCACCTCTGAAGATCTCTTCACCATCCCCTGGGGTGGAAGAGCAAAGCTCATGGGTCCTCCGGGGAGAAAACCTCTCCCCTCATGCTCTTCTCAGATGTCCCGGCCAGTGAATTTACAAAAGGAATGCAAACGGGAGGCCTCACTGGGCCTCAGGGGAGCACCAGAACCTTGATGGCCTAGCCAGGACCCTCACCCTCACCCTGAACTCTCAGCCCAAGGGCAGGGGAGGCAGAAATCAGCTCCTGAGTCTGGGGCCTTGGGGTCCAGCCCCGGAGCTCAGCACCACCTTCGCTGCCTGGGCCTCAGGACGAGTGTGCCCGAGCCCATGCCCAGGGAGCCGAGGACCTCGCCTCTCCAGGCCCCTCAGGATGGGCTGCCAGGCAGAGGTGGTCCCTGCCAGGTCTCATGGGAGCTTATTATGGACCCATGCTGTCAACTGGCCCATAAGTCTATGAGAAATAGGGGCACCCACTGGGGTAGGCCCCAGGCCCCAGTGGGTGTGGAAGACAGAAAAACATGAACAAGGCTATTTAAAGCTAGGTCTTCCCTCTCCGTCCTGCCCACCGTGGTCTCTGGGACCCTGCATTTCCTCCTGCTGTTATCTCAGGGGTTCTCCCCTCTGGCCAGGGGGACTGAGTCAGCCAAGGTGTTCAGACTGGGGAAAATGGGAGGAGTAGGCAGTGAAATGAGGGGACCTGTGGTCCCAAACAAGCTCTGGGCCCGAGTGCAGGGAGAGCGCGCTCACTTCCACCCCGCCGGGGTGCGGCGTGCCAGGGTCCCTGTGAGGGCTGGGGTCCTGGCCTGGAAGGACAGCGCGGCTCACACCTGCACCCCCTGGCCTTGCAGCTGGAGCATGCGTGCCCGCAGGGCGCTGATCCCACTGAGGAGGGCCTCTCGATGTTCCGCCGACGAGATGCCCAGGCTCACCAGGTCCCTGAAAGAAGGGCCGGTCAGACCCAGCTGGCTCAAACCCTCTTCTGCTCTCCCTCCCTCCGTCGGGACAGGGAAGGGCCCAGAATCAGGACAGGCTCGGGCCCTCCCAGACAGGTTCCTCAGACTCACTGGGCGGCCATGACAGCCACGGCCTCCAGGCTCCCGTAGCCACCAGCGGTGAAGCTGTCCTTGTAGCGGCCCAGGTCCAGGGCCTCCAGCCATGCACCCACGGAGCCGAAGGACGGAAAGGTGGAGAAGGCACGGTCCGCCAGGGGGGTGGGAGGCCTGGGGAGCAGAGGAGCTGTGGTCAGTCGGCAGCAGGGTTCTGGTGCCCAGACCTGGTCACTCTCCTGAGGAGAGGCCAGCCGAGAAAGGACAGGAGAAGGGGAGGGCGACCGAGCCCCAGGGCAGACCCGGCTCCACAGAGTGTGAGGCATTGTCAGAGCAGGTGTGAGTTTTGAGATACCCGGGCAGGTAGGTAGAGAGTGGGCTGTACTTGGGCCAGCTAAAGGTACTGGGAGTATCTAGGGGGTAGGATATACCTAGGACGGTTTGGGAGGTGACCCATGTTATACTTGGGACAAGAAATACTCATTTCACTTATTTTATCTATTGCTACTACAGACCTGTTCGAACTATTTCCACATGTATTCACCCAGTCAGTGGTCATTGTACTGGGACATGTGAGGCAAAACCCAGGACAAGCAGAATGACTAAGGTGGAGGACAATGTCCATGTGTCTGAGGCAGGCAGAGTATCAGATCTATCTAGGCAACTGGGTGAGCGGCCCTACCTGGACAGGTGGGGTGGGACAGGTGGGGTAGACAGGTGGGGTGGGACAGGTGCGGTGGACAGGTGGGGTGGGACAGGTGGGGTAGACAGGTGGGGTGGGACAGGTGCGGTGGACAGGTGGGGTGGGACAGGTGGGGCAGTTACACTTGGGCCACGTGGGGAGCCCACTCACGGCGAGGCAAGAGGTCAACTGTGTCTGGTGGTTGGGGATAGGTGGGAGTGACCCTGGCACAAAATGGCATCAGTTGTACCTGGGAGAGGCGGTCGTGGCACACTTTGGGGGTTCCGGGTCCTGCACCATCTTGCTCAGGATGCTGTGGATCTGGGAGAACCTGGGCCGCTCACTTGGGTCCTTCTGCCAGCAGTCTAGCATCAGACAGTGTAGGGGGGAGGGGCAGTTCCTGGGGGGTGGCAGCCGGAAGCCATCCTCCACTGCCTTGATCACCTGGGCCATGGAGGTGAGGGGCAGACAGGAAGCTTTCAGTCCCTCCAACACATGCACACATCCCATCCCAAGGAAGACTCAGGCAGTGACCAGGCAGGACCGGAAGCAAGTAGGCAGTGAAGAGGGGCCTAGGGCTGAGAGATCAAGGGTCAATGGGCAGAGGTCAGGGAGTTGGGGCCTGAGATCACTCACGTCTTGGCCAGACATGTCCCAGTAGGGCCGCTCCCCAAAGGCCATCACCTCCCACATGACGACACCAAAGCTCCACACATCACTGGCAGAGCTGAAGTGTCCAAACTGAAGCGTCTCGGGGGCGGCCCACAGTGCTGGGCTCCGGCCACTCTGCGGGCAGGCAAGCAGGTCAGGGGCAGGAAGGGACTGGCCCAAGGACCCCCAGGGCTCCCCACCCCACGGAGCCCCAGACCCAGCCCCACCTGCCATCCTCCCAGCTGCACCTCTGGGGAAGGCACATAATGATGCCCACACTGGCATTCATTTGGGGCCAAGTGGGGGGAGGGGCAGGGCTGTAGGGAGTGTGGCCCTGCCACGGCAGGGAAGAGGGCAGCAGTGGGTAAGGGGGACCCTGGTGCAGTCTGATGGGCAGGTTTGCCTGGGAGAAGGGAACCCTCACCATGGTGGTGTAGACAGCCTCTGCTCGGTCCCGGGGGCCCCGCCCAAAGCCAGAGATCTTGCAGATAAGGCCACTGCTGAGCAGCACACGGCGGGCCGCCAGGCCCCGGTGGACGTAGCCCATTTCCGAGAGATACTTCATGGCTGATGCCAGCCCGGGCAGCAGCCCCAACAGCTGCCTGGCTGCCAGCTGGCCCTCATGCCTCTGTGGGAGGAACATGCAGTTCTCTGGGGCTGTGGGACCCCAGCGAAGTCACCTGGCCCCCTCTGGGTTTGCCCTGTGACCCACCAGGTGGGCCTGGCCAGTGGGCCCCTTTTTAGGGAACGATGCCAAGTACAAGTCCCACCAAAGAGAAAGTGAGGGACAAAGACTAACATGGTCAGCGGTACCCCCAAGGACCCAGGCCACTCACCCGCAGGAAGCCGTCCAGGGCCCCATGGCTCATGTACTCAGTGACAATCATCAAGGTGCTTCCTGTGCCAGGGATGGGGACACACACACTAAGCTGCCTGCCCCACCCCCCACCCCCCACCGCTCACACACATGCTCCCCCAACCCGGGCCCCAGCCTGAGCTGAGACAGCCAGAAACGTTTCCCCAGGTGGGCCGCACCCCTGCCCGGGACCCTCTATGCCAAAGAACAAAAGATGAGGCATCTGGAGGAGGACAAAGGCCAAGGTCTAGGAGCTGCAATAAATCTGCTAAGAAAGATCACTCAAGGTCCAAGCAGTCCACCCCCAACAGGGTCACTACAGGTCAGAAAGGTCATTCAAGGTTGGAAGGGTCTCCCTGAGTCAGTGAAAGAGAGCTGAGGCCTTCTCTCCATATTGGGCAGCTTAGGGGCTCCCCATCCCATGGCTGGAGGAAGGGCCTGGGGGCATAGGAGCACCCCACCTCCCACCCTGTTTCCACCCATACTTGCGGAGGACACGGCCCTACCTCGGGTGACGACACCCTCCAGCCTCACGACATGGCTGTGGTCGAACTGGCCCAGGGTGAGGGCCTCAGCCAGGAAGCTGAGCCTCTGGGAGTCAGAGCAGCCGTCCCTGAGGGTGTGCACGGCCACGGGGAGCTCCTGGCGGCCAGGGAGCTGCAGGCGGCCGAAGGACAGCTCCCCGAACCGCCCTGTGAGGACAGAGCACCTCAGTCCCCTGGAGGCCACCCCCTGGCCAACCCAGGCCCAGTGAGCAGCGGAGAAAGCAGCTGGGGATCACAGGCTGTTCCTGGCCTGGGGCTCAGGGCTCCCGAGTTCGAATCATGGCAAGCTGAGACCCAGTGATGTGACGTGGGCTTCGCAGTCCCCACCTCGCTCTGCATGAGGAGCTATCGTGCCCATTTTACAGACAAGGAACGAGTTCAGAGCAGAAGAGGCACACAGCTGGTCAGCGGTAGAGCCAGGACTAGAACTCAGGTGTGTCTGGTCCCCAAGTCTGTGAATGCTCCTCCCCACCGCACCCCCCCATGAAGGCCTGGGACTATACTTCCGCCAGTGGCAGTCTGCGGAGGCCAGGGGGGAAAGGGCTAGGGTGGGGAGGCCTCCTCGGTGACCATGGGGACGGGGAGAGGGTAGGAAGGCAGGATCACAGACTCCTCTGCCATCCCCTTCCCTGGAACCCGGTGGGTGGAGGTCCCGTTTGGTGTGGAGCTGGGGCTTCCTGGGCAGGCCAGGACTGGGGTGAAGGCAGGGCTTCCAGAAACGGGGGAGGGCCTGGAGGGCAGAGGTGAGGATGAGGGAAGAGAGGGGGCTCTTGGGACGGACAAGGCTTCCTGGGTGCCCAGCTTGCCTGCTCCAAGGCTTTTCTCCAGTGTGACAGTTTTTGCATCCAGCTCCTTAGCAAACAGATGAACAGCCTGCAGCGGGTCCCCACAGCTCTGGGGGTCTAAGAACGTGCGGCGCGTCGGGACTTTGACTGGAATGCAGGGAGAACAGACAGGGGCTGGAGGAAGGGGTTCTGTGGCTGGGGGTGGGAGGGGTCATGAAGGGCAGCAAGGAAGAGGGCTAAGCAGGGGCAGGCAACAACTCACAGTGGAAATACAGCTCCTCCTCGTCGTGGGCGTCCTGACCTCCTTTGCCATAGGGGCAGGGCCTGGGCAGGTGCAGAGTCACTCTTTGAGCCAGGCAGCCCCAGCCCTTGGCCTCTTACCAGACCCAGGGTGGCAGCTCCTTATCCCTTCAAAACCATTAAGATCTGTGCCCTAGGGGAGGGACCTTCTTGTCCTGCTTTGAGAGCTCCTCCCCACAGCCGACACATAACCCCAGCCCCAGACCTAACCCCTCATCCCCACCCACATTCCTAATTATTTTCCCTCTGAGACACAATGCATATTCTTGCACCTCCAGAGGCACCCAAATCCATACCCCTGACTTTGAACCCCTGAACTTTGAGCAAATCGGGTGGCCCCTGCAGTCAGGGGCAGCCGGGGTCTAGCCAGGTAAACAAGCGCTGAGCATCCATCGCAAGCCCGCTCACAGGTCCAAGCACACAGGGGCACACGCAGCTGATGGGCCTGACCAGTTCCAGACCTCCAAGGAGGGCTTCCTGAGGCAGAGGTGGCCATGGACCAAAAGACTGCGTCACTATCACCAGAGCCCCCAACAGGCATTAGGGGCCCCTGAAGGGGGCCTTGCTGGCCCAGAGGAGAGCCCTGGTGGTGTTGAGCAGGTGAGCACCATGACTCAATCTGCATTTTAGAAAGATCACGCTGGCTGCAGCTGCCGCCCCCCGCCCCGACCCGCAGGAGCTGACGGTGGCTCGGTGGCTCGGGCTACAGGGGGAGCATGGACCCGGAGAAAAGAGGACTCGAGTGCTCAAGTGACGTTTAGGTGACAGGGCCACAGGGCTCCGAGACTGCTAGAAGGCAGAAAGGAGGAGGGAGAAGGTCGGAATGACTTCTGGGGTTCTGCATTGCCCAACCGTTGACGGTGGTGCCATTTACGAGGACAGGGAGAAAGAAGCTCTCGCTCAGGCTGCACCGGTGGGAACGTGCAGAGCCCACGGGATGAGCAGGGAGGGGCGCGGAGTAGGGAGTTAGAAATGAGTGGGGTGGGGGGTGCAGGAGAGGTCTGCCCTGGAGATATGAGTGCGGGAGCTGTGAGCATTGTCCAGGAAGAGGACAGAGCCTGGGAAGTGGGACCGTGGACAAGTCTGAGGACCCCGACATTCAGAGACCGGGTAGAGGAGAAAGAGGCCATGGAGGAGATCACAAAAGAACCGCCAGACAAGTCAAAGGGAAACAGAAGGGAAATCAGGGGTGGCCACGTCACAGGAAGGCAGGAAAGAAAAAAGTGGCGCGGGGAGAGAGATGGTGTGGAGGCTCGGAAGAGGGGGCGGTTAGGGAGATGTTTCTATATGGATGGGAAAGGGGGCTGAAGTGGTCACGATGGTGGTTAGCAGCATGGGCTCTGGAACCTCGCGCAGGGACTGGCTTCCCAGCTCCTCTGCTTGGTAGCTGTGGGACTCGGTGGGCTCAGATTTCTCTTTAATAAAATCGGGATAAAGACAGCCCCGCCCGATACAGCATGGTTGCACAGAGCTTACTAAGCACTCACTAAATGTCAGCTGTTATGTGGGGCAGAGGGGGACATTAGAAACAGTAGGGTTCCTGAGGTGGTGAGAAGGGGCGGGGTTCGGAACACAGCAGGAAGGACTAGGAGGAAGGCACCTCCTCCAGGGCACAGGGAGGGAGAGGATGGGTGCAGAGACAGGCAGGTGTGCAGACTTGCGGATGAGGGGCCAGGCGGCCAATGATGCACTGAAGGAGCAGGTGCAACAGATGTGGCCGAGGGGGCAAGCTGTAAGGACAGGGCACCTGCGGGGCATGAGTGGAAGAGCCAGCTGGACAGAGTATTTGGGGTGATGGCGAGGTCCATGGCAGGATACGGGAGAGGGAGGCCGGGGTGGAACAGAACAGAAGGTCCTTGGGAATGAGGAAGTCAAAGAACCAAGAAGCGAAGGGGTGGGACAGGTTATCCAAGGGCACTGAAGTCACCCAGAGTGGTGAAGGACTTCCCATGAATGAGGAGAACATCCAGGAAAGGTGGGTAGAGAGAAAGGGGGCAAGGCCGAGCGGATGGAGGAGTGGCAGAGAAACCGAGAAGCTTCCACCGGACAACACCCTCTGGTGAGAAGTGGGATGAGCCAGGATGGGGTGGGGACGGAAAGCAGAGGGGAGGAGACCCCGCAGAGGGCAAGTTCTGCAGGGACTCAGAGAGAGGTCAGCCTGTGAGGCTGGCTGGACATGCCCATCGGTACCTGACCCGCAGATTCTCCCCGTTTCCGTGCCATGGGATTTTGAGCAGGTTTTGAGACCGACCCCTGGCTTCCTCGACCTGCCCTAGTGCATCTGTCTCCGAGGTGCTCCTGGGCAGCTACTCCTGTCCTGCACAGCCCTTGCCCGGAAGGGTGCTCCTTATACCCCTCTCTCCCGGTTCCTCCGCCTGCCTCCCTGAGCTCTTAAGCTCCCAGCCAGGACAAGAGGCTCTCAGCTCCTGTCCATTCCTACTTTCCCAACAGGTCCAATATGGGCGTCTAAGCACCAGAAAGGAGCTTACTACTCCTGTCCTGCTTCCCTGACTGTCCTGGCCCAGGCAGAGGGGCTCCCAGACCCCCAGGTCAAGGCTCTCCCCTCCTTAGTCACTTTCAGTGCTCCAGTCAAGGCCAAGCAAACAGTGCCGTGTGAATACTCGCTGTCCCTCCAGCCCACAGGCAGTTCCAGGATGCCGAGATGTGCTGGGATGTGGCTCCCTGAGCAGCCATCGCTCGCCTCTGCTCCCCCCCCCCCCCCCGCCCCCGGCCCATCACATGCAGACTTTCCACCCCTCAAGTCTGCTGACCTCAGCCCCAGCCTGGTACCTCTGCATGCAGCAGAGTGTGGCCCTGGGGAGAAGGTGGAAATACATGCTATGAGCTTTCTGCTGCGTGCAAAAGGACTGGAATCTTCTCTGAAACAAACTCGAGCTCCACATCCTTCCCCCTCCCCCCACCCCCTTTCTCTGCCCACTCTCCTGCAAGCTTCCTCCTGGTGAATGAGTTCCCCTCCCTGGCCTCCCCCCTCCCACACACAGTTTCTGCCTTTCTTCCCTTTGCCTGTGTTCAAGGGCCTCAAGATCCCTTGCGGGCAGGGGCTGGGGGCCTCTGAGCGCCTCAGGAGAATCCTAATCACACTGGAGCAGCCGGAGCTTGATTCCATCCTCAGTGATGCCTTCTGACATTTAATGAGCTAAGGAGCTCAATCCCCTTCATCCCAGAGCGGGCTGAGCTGGAGGCAGCGCCCGCTGCGGCAGGAGCAGTAAGTGGGGGAGGGGCCGGGACCGCGCTGGCCCTGCCTGGATCTACACCGCAGGATGCTTGCGTGCGCAAATCTGCACGTGTGTGAATGCACGCACAGACAAAGGGGCCGTGAGCACACGTGAGTGTGCCCAGGGCCACGACCCACCAGGAGTCAGCCAAGCCGGGACCAGCCACCTACCTCCTCCACATGGCCAGCACGCTCATCACAGAGCCCAGGACGAGGAGGGCTGAGACGGTCACCACGGTGACGACGACTGCAGGGTTGTGGTCCCTGGACCCTGAGGCAGCTGGGGGTAAACCAGGAGGTTGAGGCAGGCTGAGGGCCAGGCTCCGGGGCCGCCCCAGTGCAGGCTCCTGCCCTGCCCCCACAGCAGAAGGCCCACGGGGGCGCTTGGAGCTTCCTCCTCTCCCTGCAGTCCAGCTCTGCGAGAGAGGCCCCGGGGTCCAGACAGGCAGGCCTGGGCCTCCCTTTGGCCTTTCAGATGGGCATGACTTAATGTAGCTCTGCAGGGGGAATGGCCTCTCACCTGAGCTCCCCAGCCCCATCCGGACCACCGCCGCCAATTACAGTAAGGTAACATTGAATGCACACTTACTCAGGATACTGTGCCACGTGCCTTAACTAAATGACCCTGTTTCACTGTCACAACCAGCCAGTAAAGTGGTAGTGTCTCCATTTTATAGCTGAGAAGACCGACATCGAGAAAAGTTGTACAGCTTGCCCAGGGTCCCACGACTACTAAATGGTGAACCTAAGATTTGAGCCTGATTCCAAAAGCCTCTACTGTGAACTATTTCCCCAAGTGAGGGGTCTAGAGGACCGCAGCTCCCAGCCCCATCTATCCATCCCTCCATCCCTCCATCCATCCAACATGTGTGACAGGCTGGCACCAGCACTTGGAAGGCAGTGATGAATGAGCCAGAATCCCTGCCCCGGAGGAGGCTAGAGACCAGTGGGGGAGACAGAAACAAAATTCCTAACTGTAGAATGAAAACAGAAACAGAGAGCTGAGCAGAGACACGCTCATTTCTTCCTAAAACCAGTGAGGAAGGCTTCACAGAAAAGGCATGGCATCTGCACTGGGCCTGGGAGCTCGGAAAGGTTCTGGTGGTGCTTGGGCGCACAGGCAGGGTCTGGAAAATGGCAAGCCATCCCGTGGGGCTGGGGAAACAGGCCGCATGGGGGCCGAGAGGGGCCAGATGTGAAGCTGGATGGTGGGAGGAAAAAGGGAATGGGGGTGGAGGGGGGGAGGAGACAGCACCTGAAGGGCCTGGGATGCCAGGCCAAGGAGCAGGGACTTCATCCTGAGGGTGACAGGGAGCCAGGGAGCAATGGACAGAGTTCCTGCCTGAGGGGAAAGGGATGAAGGTATCTGCTGGGTTGGAAGCGGGGATGGACAGGAGGTACCTGAGAGAGGGGGAAATGTTTGGGAAAACTATTGAGAATGGGGGAGATGCTGCGCAGTCCTGGAGACTCCGTTGAGATTAGATGAGGCGTGGGACGCAGGTCTCAGGCCAGCTCCAGGCTCCAGGACAAGCAGGGCGGGCACAAAGCAGCATCCAGGGAGTGAGGGAGCATTTCCCCGGGGAGGATCCACAGCGGCTGGGGCGATATGGGGCCAGGAGGGGCTCAGAACCTGGGAGCTGAGGTTGGATCCCCAGGGCTGTTAGGAGGATGTCACAGTCAAGTGACAAGGGACAGAGGAGGAAGGGAGAGTTAGACGCCAACAAGGCCAAGGTCAATGAGGGGACTTTAGAGCCCATGGTTCCAGAGGTGGGGACAGAACCCGGGGTCTGGCTGGGGCAGAGGTGGCTGGGGTTGCCAAGAACTGTTTGAAATGAAGTGTCCATGTGGACCTGGAAATGGAGACAGGGCGGTTGTGGCAGGTGGCTTATGAGATGTGCCCCCTGGATTCCCCACCTCATGGTATTCAGCCCCCTTGAGTGTGGGCTTGACATAGTGACTTGTTTCTAATGAAGAGAATGCAGCCGAAGGATGGGATGTCACAGACAAGAGACTGTGGCTTGTCTTGGGCACCCTCTCTCTCTCTCTCTCTCTCTCACTCAGTCTCTGAAAGAATCGAGTTGCTGTGTGATGAGGAGCTCTAGGCAGAAGCCCAAGAGGCAGAGAACTGCATGCCTCCAGCAAAGAGCCAGCGAGAACCCGAGCCTTGAGACAACTGCAGCTGTGAGGGACCCTGAGCCCATGGCACCTAGTTAAGCTGCACCCAGATGCCTGGCCCACAAAAACCATGAGAGAACAAATGTTGGCTGTTTGCAGCTACTCGGTTTGGGGTAATTTGTTACGCAGCAATGGGTAGCTGATACAGGGCTGAAGCAGGATCCTTAATCGTGCTCCTGAGTTAGGGTCACAGATCACTGGAAGAAGGGGTCTGCAGACTGGGAGACCTGTTCCCCCAGAGCCTGGGCCACAGCCAAGGAGGCCGAGGGTCCGAGCAGGGTCTACTCACTGGGAAGCACCAACTGAATGGAAATCATCGGCCCATTTCAGCTAACAGCCCCCAGCTCCCACCCCCACCACACTCACTCCAGCCAAACCTGTGCGCCTTTGTTCAGATGGATTCATCTACCCCACATGCCTTCCCTGCCCATCTCCACACATTCAAATGCTCCCCAGCCTTCAAGACAGAGCTCTAATCTCCTCCTGCCAGCACCTGGCCAAGGTCTGGCACAGACAGGCATTCGAGCGAGAAGCGCTGTCTCTCTTCTCAGAACCCAAACTCCCTCAACATTTTATCTCCACCTCCCTTTGGGCTCCAGCTCTTCCTATCTTGGATTAGACTCACGTAGCAGGTTGGAAAGAATTATTATCTTAACAGCTGGTGTCAGAATGCCTCTTAGGGGGAACTGCCTTTGTCTGGGAAAATACTTTTGTGAACTGCTCGGGGTAGATAGAGGTGAGACCCTGAGGGCAGGGTTCGCAGCAGGCAAAACCACCAAAGCCACAGCTAAGCTGCTCATCTCTCGTCATGAAAGGGAATTTGGGGGTGGGGGTGGGGAGAAGAGGAGCCAGGGGAGGGAGGTGAAGGGAGGAAGCGGGTAGCATAATACCACGGGGGAGAAGCCAGAGCCGTTTTAAAATCAGGGCATCTGATGTTCAGCTTTTGCTCTGTTTTGTTGTTTCATCTTGATAATAGCTTTATTGGGAGAAATGATTCACGTACCATACAATCCCCCCACTGAACGTGCACAACTCTCGCTCTGTTTTGTTTTGTTTATTGCTGTGGTGCGACCCCTTTGTGTCCCCAACCTTCAGTGAAGTGTGCTTCTCACTCTAAGGCCGAGTGGGGAAAGGGACGGCATCCCATGTTTGAGTCTATATCACGGCAGAGAGAAAGAAGCAGAATGGGAAAGAATTTAGCCTTCGGAGCAAGAAGTGACCATGAGACTACAACTCCTCCCAAGAAAAATAGCAAGAATCTTGGAGAGGGCACAGGATGTTTCTACAAGACACGGGAGGTCCTGGGAGGCTGGAGATCCCAGCTGAGACGTGGCTTATAGCTGTTCATGAGCCCCTCCCCTGTGAGCTCCCCCAGGACAAGGCCCTCCCATTTAATTCATGTCACTGAATAGGCCCTCGTTGATGGATTCCAAATTCATGAATTATTTAGGTTGTAATTAAACTGTTCTGTGGGCTCCCTTAATTGCATGGATAACCACCCCCACCCCAGCTGGTCTCCCCACCTCAGCCCCTCCCTACATACACACATCACTTACCCTCCCCTGGGGTCTGCACTTCAATGGAGGGATTGAAGCTCTGGGTCTCCCAGGAGGGCCCCGGGGAAGCTGCCCGGATCTGAAAGACGTAGCGGGTAGCCGGCTTCAGGTTGGTGACTGTGACCGCAGGTGCCCCTGTCTTCACCGTGGAGTAAGTCTGCTCACTCTGACCCTGAGGAAGGACCAAGAAGTAAGGCTCAGACCCAGGGCCAGACCCGCGCTCCTTGGAGAATGATGGGGGCCAGGAGTAGGGGGGTGGAGAAGCGCTGAGGCGAGCATGGACCAGGTGGGAGAACCTGACTCGGACCATCTAGGGAGGGCTCCGTAGGCTTCTTCCACAGGCTCTCCAACCCCTCCCTGCACCCAAGGTCCCAAGTACACTCAGTGGTATTTGTGGCTAAGAGCAGTAAGAGAAACTCGAGAGAAGACGCTAGATCCCCCTTGTGGAGGACAGACGTCAGGGCCTCGCGGTCCAGAGGGTGAGCTGGGCCTGATGCCTCGGAGGAGTGAGAAACAGCCCTGACACCTGCCCGGCCCCTGTCGGCTCACACAGATCCTTCTCTTTGTCATCTGGTTTTCACAGACAAGGACTGGGGCACAGAGGGGTGGAAAGACTCGCCCGAGGCCCCTGCTGGACAATGGGGACAGCGGTAGCTGTCACGGAGGGAGGGCCGGCTCACTGCCCGCTGCTGAGCTAGACTCTTCGGAGGCCTGGGGCTACCTACAGCGCCCGCAGTAGTAGTTCTCTCTTCCTTTATAGGGGACGGTTGCATCAGGGAAGGGTCAGAACAACACCGTCTTGATTCCTTCGGGTCCTGTGCGTACTTTATATCATACTGCCCCCAGCACATCTGATAATGGTGTGTACTGGGGATGCGGCCATCGTTTTGTCTCTGCCTGCCCCCCCCCAACCTTATTAGAGCCCCTGCCAAGCTCACAGCCCCTCATTATCATGTGGTCCAGTTCTTTGGTCATGGTATTCAGGAATGGGAAAGACTCTGACCTGAACTGGGCCAGTCGGAATCTCTCTTCCAGGTATCTGAACGACCCAGGGAAAGACAGGGAGACAGGGGCTGCAGGCGGGACCTCTGAGAGACGGGCAGGGTAGGGGCGGGGCGGGGCGAAGAGACAAGGCTGCTGTCCTGGGCCGCCCTCATGGGCCCTGAGCAAGCCCCTGTGCAGAGGACACAGGCACTGGTGTGCACAGAGAAGGGCAGATGAGGAGCACCATGCCTCCAGGACTTGTGGTCCCGGGCTTCCCTGCGATGCCCCTGAAGCCTTTCACACGGAACCCCTTTTGTACAGGCTCCTCTTTTCAAGGGTTTTGGTTCCCTGCAAATTCACAGCCCCTTAGGGCCTGGAGCACCCACCCAGCTCTACTTCGGGACTCTGTCTCCTATGCGCTGACCCCCACCCCATGTCAGTTCAGTGAGGCCTCTGTGAGCAACGACTGCGTGCACAGCTCCTTCCCAGTGTCCTCTGCGGTCTCCTAAACCTCAGGGCTCCTCAGAGCTCTGTCTCGGCCCCTCTTCTCACGCTCAATGTCCTTCTTGGCCTTCTCTTCCGGCCCTTGGCTTCATTCAGCTCCCAGCCCTATGCTGAAAGGCCCCACCTCTTTTTCCAGGATAGGCCTCTGCCTTGAGCTGCAGACCCCCAAGTCCACCTGGATGTACCAGGGACCCCCTGAACGTTGCATGGGCCAATCCCAGCTAACCCTCTGAGCCCAGACAGGCTTCTCCTCCTCCATGGATGGCACCCCATCCCCTAGATCTCCCAGCAGTGACTCAGGAGTCCCTCCTCCTTCGTGTTCACTCCCCACCCACCCCCAACTCACAGCTCTCAGTAGACTTCCAGTATTCAAAAACTATTATCTGATTCAGCTAAAAAGTCCCTCGAGTCACTAAGGGCTGAGTGAAGTTCTGACACATGACATGCTGAAGATGAAAGCAAGGTTTTGCTTGAATGAAGAAAACTGGCACCAAGGTGAAGAACACTTTAACAGTAGATTACATATCACATTTAAAGACGATAAATTTATGGGGAAAAGAGATAGTGGATTGGGACATATCTCCATTTGTCAAGTCGAGGTTGAACTGCAACCGTAGATTGACAACAGATACAAGAAGTCAGCAAAAATTGGCAAAAGCATCCTATAAGGATCAATCGGCTAGATGGAGTTTACAATAAGGACACTGTATATCTTTTCTTCTTATCTGTAAACGATGCATTACACATCCTGTATATCAGTAAAACTATAATAATAATTCATACATCCATTCATTGTTCTGGAGAGCAGGATGTTAAACATTTACCAGCACACGGCCAAGTTCCAGTGGACCACCTGACCTAGGTCAGACATGTTTGTAAATTTTGAAACAATATGGTATTTCTGCATTCTTTTTCTTAAAAAGGGTTGCAAATTGTATGTATATGGTCTGACCACGCAAGACCTGGATCAGCCCCCAGGGAAAGCTCTTAGTCAACTGTAAACACCAGGCAAAAGTGGTGACAATGGAGCTGATGACTGGTGAGGAGCAGAGAGGGGGGACAGCGGATGAGCAGTGGGGTCCATGCACGGAGTGGAGGGGACAGGAAGAAACTCAGGCCTTAGGAGGCCGGTGGATATGTTCACAAAGAAAGTAAGGAGGACTTTTTGAGGCCAGAAGGTAGAAAAGGAAGCGGCTGCTGGAGACAGACCACAGCCCCTGAACGCAGACCCAGGTCCCGCCCAGACCCCGCCTCACCTTCTCGTAGTATCGGATCTCGTATTCGGTGCTGTTAGCCCCCGGAGCTCCGACGGGGATGGGCTCCCGCCACGACAGGGACACACTCTGGGGCTCCACTCGGTCCCTGCGGATCTCATCCTCCTCCCAGGGCGCTGAAAGTAAGTAACGCCGGGTTCTCCACGGGATCCCACTGTGGGTTAGGGCCCCTGTGGGCGCTGGAAAGGCGAGGCATGCAGGGAGTGGGGGCGGGGCCAGGTGGGTGGGGCGGG